AACAGACACATCTCTATTTGTCTACACACACGGGTCACACAAGGCATACTTACTCTTATATGTGGATGACATAGTTCTTACAGCTTCGAGCACTGTGCTTTTCTCTCAAATTACAGCTCGTCTAAAGGGTGAGTTTGCCATGACTGACATGGGAGAGCTTAATTTTTTCCTTGGCATCAGCGTTCAGCGTACCAAAGAAGGCAACCTTTACTTGCATCAGACGCAGTTTGCTCATGACATTCTCGACAGGGCAGGTATGCTACATTGTAAGCCCATCTCCACGCCGGTTGACTCTAAAGGGAAATTATCAGCCACCTCCGGGGAACCCGTAGCCGATGCTACTCTTTATCGTTCTCTTGTCGGTGCTCTTCAGTATCTTACATTCACACAGCCCGATCTCACATATGCAGTCCAACAGCTTTGTCTCTATCTTCACTCTCCACGGACGACCCATCTTACAGCCTTAAAAAGGATCCTCCGCTATCTTCAGGGCACAGTCACTCATGGGATCACTCTCTCTCTCTCGCTCCTCCACGGATTTTCTTCAGGCTTACTCTGATGCAGACTGGGCAGGGTGCCCTGACACGCGACGGTCGACCTCTGGTTATTGTGTATTCTTAAGGGACAACTTGGTCTCATGGTCTTCCAAGCAGCAAGCCACCACCTCCAGATTTAGTGCTGAGGCAGAATACAGAGCTGTAGCTAATGTCATTGCTGAAACCAGTTGGATTTGAAATCTTCTTCTTGAACTTCATCAGCCACTACGACGAGCCACCATTGTGTTCTGCGACAATATCAGTGTTGTCTATTTGTCCTCAAATCCGGTACAACATCAACGTACCAAGCATGTTGAAGTCGATATTCATTTTGTTAGAGACAAAGTTGCACTAGGACAGGTTCGAGTTCTTCATGTACCATCCTCTTCCCAATTCGCAGACATCTTCACAAAAGGATTACCGTCGCTTCTTTTCACTAATTTCTGACACAATCTTGGCGTCCGAAGATCACCGACGGAGTTGGTAGTATGTTAAATATGTCAAGTTATATTACATACTTAATATTATTATTATTTATGGTAGATTCCACATTGTATAGGATCTCTCATTAATGTTAGTTTCCTTATTCTTAACCCTCCTACATGTATATAAGGGGGGTGAATATATTGTAAGTTAATTATTGGAAATACATAATTCTTCAAAATCTTTGAGACTAAACACGTAAAATTTATACAAATAAATTTAGTCTCGCTTTTGGTGTGTACAGTGTACTTATGGCAGTAGTATATCTTATTCTTGTTTATTAGTGCTTACTAGTTGAACAATTCAAGAAACTGAAGTTTGAGTAAGCTATTGCCGGATTACATAAAATGTAAAGTATGAACTTGGGGATATGGTCTACTCCTCTTGCTGGACTATCCTTTCAATTGGTTTGTATTGCTTGGCAGTACTTTTGAGAGCCGGTCTTGCAAACACCTTTCATTCTCAACCCATCACTTCTCTCTTGTTTTTTAAATTTTTTTTCTTTGATTCAATTTTGTTAGAATTCTTCACATATAGTCTATCATTAAATCTCTTTTAGGATTTGTTATTATCTTTTGGCTTCTTTTACATGTTTTTTAGAGATGCCACACCCCTTAACTTTTTTTCTTTTTATCAATTAAAATTTTTGTTGAAAATTAAAAATCTCTCACTTCGCAATATGTTACAATTTCACCTTTTTTTTGTTAAAATTAAAAAAACATTTATCAAATGCAATTTGTATGATTGCAACTAGTAATAGATTACTGTTTTTTGGAACTTTAAAAATAGTTCTAGACTTAATAGCCAGATTAGTGTTTAAAAAGAGTATTCTTAATTTATTATAGACAATTGTGGTAACAAGAACTATATGACACAGACAACTAGTAATAGATTACCGTTTCTTCGAACTTTAAAAATCGTTCTAGGCTAAATAACAAGACTACTAAGTAAAATAATTATTCTTAATTTATTATAGACAATTATGGCAACAAAAAACGTATTTTGATATGACACAAACAACTAGTAATAGATTACCGTTTCTCAGAACTTTAAAAATAGTTTTAGGCTTAATAGTGAGACTACAATTTAAAATGAGTATTCTTAACTTGTTATAAACAACTATGGCAACAAAAGCCATATGTCAGAGACAACTAGAAATAGATTATTGTTTCTCAGAACTTTAAAAACAATTCTAGGTTAAATAGTCAGACTACTGTTGAAAATGAGTATTCTTAACTTATAAAAGACAATTATGGCAACAAAAATCGTATTTTGATATGACATAGACAACTACTAACATATTATTGTTTATATTAATTTTAAAAACAGATGTTGACTAAGTATTTAGACTATTGTTAAAAAAGAGTATTGTATTCTTATTATAAACAACAGTGCCAAAAATACTATATGACATAGACAACTAGCAATAGATTATTGTTTCTCATAATTTTAAAAACAGTTCTAGATTGAATAACTAGACTACTGTTTAAAAAGAGCATTCTTAACTTATTATTGGCAACTGTGAAAACAAAAATTGTATTTTGATATGACACAGACAACTAATAATAGAATACCGTTTCTCGAAACTTTAAAAATAGTTTTAAGCATAATAGCTAGACTACTACTTTTGTAGCCAACAACAACAAACAGTAGTCTGATTTTTTTAAACTACTGTCTTTCCATAAACAGTAGTTAATCAACAGTCGTCTGACACTGTTTTTGGCATAGTGATTCTTTCAAAGATTGAAGTAAAAAATTTATATATAAAAGATAAAGTATTATAACCTTCTAAATCAATAAATCAGTGTGAACTCAATGAGAAAATGTGTTCTTATTCTATTTTTTATATCCTTTTATAGATTGTAAATTATTAGAGCTTACTTGTGTAAAAATGGTAACTCACACTGCTATAATTTAATTTGATTAGTTTAAATTTTAAAATGATAATTATTAATATTTTTAATATAATTAATGGTATTAAACACAATCTTTTAGCGTTAGTATTTTAAAATAATTTGAACCCTTAAACATTTATTCAAAAGTAAACGTCTATATGATTCGTTTGAAGTAAGGTTTGTTTTTCATTTTTTGCATAAGATTGACCCGATTTTATTCTCCTCTTCTAAAAGAACTTTGTAGAGTAACTCTTTTTTTATTTGTCTAAAAAAATTTTACACTTTATCTATTTTCTACTCTATTTTCTTTTTGCAAAATATTTTCTACTCTATGATTGACTCATTATTTATCCATTTTCATTTTATAAATGAACCATTGACTCATTATTTGTGTATTTTCAATTATTTCATTGACATTGTACAAATGGAGAAATGGAAAATTAGAAATTACTCGAAATGAAAATTCATTGACTCTATGACATTCTTGTCGCTTTTTCAAAATTCAAAATTTTTTAGACTTACTCCAGAGTATATTTTAAGATATACGAACTAAAATAAAGAAAAAAAAGTATATGGATTACGTAATACCTTGCAACTTAAATTGGTAATTACCTATTTTCATCCAAAATACCTTGTAATAGCTTTGGATTTAAGGAGATGGCAGGGCAGAATTTTTCCCTTTAATTTTAAAAAGACTTCGATTTAAGAAGGAAAAAAGATTTAATTTTCCTAAATGCTATAAAAACTTACCAATCAAAGATGAAGTAAGTTTGGAAGGAATTTTCTAAATTCAGCTCACCTTATTACGTCACATAGCATGTCAATTATATTGCCACATGTCCAATTTTTGTATTGCCAAATGTCAGCTTTTGAGAATCCAAACTCTCAAATTTTATATTAAAGGATAGAAAGATTTGACAATTGGTCTTCTAGAATTGTGACATGTGGCGTACTTATTAGGCAATTTTTTTAACATGTTAGCAGGCAATTCAATCAAGTAATATTTATCAAGTAATATTTAAAGAATTAGTTGACAAAAAAACTTATTCTATGGATCGGAAATTAAATTTCATATTTGTTACATACACATAATGACTAGAGATCAAAGATACTCCATCCGTCCTAAAATTAACTTCCTTATTTGATTTTTCTGGGTATCTAATGCAACACTTTGACCATTAATATCTCAATTTACATAAAAATATATATTATAAAAATAAAATATTTCAAAACTATGTTTCAAAAAGAGAGTGTAAAAATAACATTTTCTTGTACAATGTTTTTCTCTGTTTTTCATTTTCCCATCCAAACAAACTAAAAGAAATTACTCCCTCCATCTCTGAAAACTTTCTTATTTTGTCTTCCTTTGGTGACACTCTTTGATTATAAAATGTGTGAAAAGTATATTGAATTATAATATAAATTTAAAATGATTATGGTCATATTAGCATAAAGTTTTGATATACACAATTTTTATAACATTTATTTATATAGATTATGATTAATTTATTATCGAATAATATCATTGTTTGACAAAAATATTTAAAGAAGGAAAATTTTTAGGGATGGAGAAAGTATTTTTATTCCATTAATTTATTTCCTCCCTATTTTACCTATGGAAATTTAAAATCCCTTCTAGTTTCTTTCCTTTCTCCGGGTTTGTTTCCTATAATTTTCCTTCTTTGCAACCAAATAGTCAAATCCGGAGTCTAAGGTTTACAAAGTTAATTGGAAATTTGTGCCGTACGTGGGTTAACTAAAATGTCTAAAGACGAAGTATTATATTCTTCCAAATCAGACCAATCACCACCGACTCCATCTCTGTCGATCTCTATTTAATTTTCTCCTCCCCGCCGCCGTGCAAGCTACCAATCACCACCGACTCCATCTCTGTCGATCTCTATTTAATTTTCTCCTCCCCGCCGCCGTGCAAGCCAAACAACCGTCCCGCGCCCCCATTCCGCAGTCGCCGGCCAGTCCCCTCCGGCCACCCGTTTTGTTTCTCATTGCAGCTAGCACGGCCCTGATGGTGATTGAATGCCTTCCCCAGATTTCTCATCTCTTATGTTCTGTCTTCAATCTGCAGGATCCTCCAAGAAGAGGAAAAGCATCGATTGGTCAACTTCCAGACGACATCTTAATTGACATTCTCAGTAGGCTTCCTGCAGACACTGTTTTACGATGTCGCACAGTGTGTCCGGACTGGAGAAGTTTGACATTGTCGCGTTATTTCACCTGGGTGCAAGCCAAAAGAGCTCCTTCTGTTGTCATTGTGCAAGGTATACGATTGGGATTTCACAAGAAATCTGAAGATTACTATATTTATGATGCAGTTTCCAAAAAGTTGAGACACATTCCTTTCAATCTCAACATCTACAAAGGGTTTTATTTTCCATCCGTTCGCGGTGCATGTGGCGGTCCGTTTCTTCATCTTAAAAGTTACACAACGCTTTGGAAAGATGGTACGAACAACTTTTCTCATCCAATCAAATGCGACTTTGTTTTCAACATCATCACTCAACAACTTCTAGGAGTTCGGTCTGAACTCCAAGACTTTGTGTGTGGTGTTTACTTTCACAAGGCGACGAATGAATGCAATTATCTGTGCGTGCGTCGCGTTTCTGCCGAGGAGAGGTGTTTTCAGTACTTTTCATACAACCTCGTTTCGCACACCACGAAGAAAATTTCTTGTAGCCGTTTCTCTTGTAGGCAGGACGCAAACAACTATCCAGTAGCTTTAAACGGAGCGCTCCATATGATGACGTGCGACGATTGCATGCATGCAGTGTTGGTATTCGAGATCGACTCGCGAAAACTCTACGCTTTGCCACACCCAGAAGTTGAATGTGTTGATGGGCAAGTGGATAGTCATAAGCTCATGACTTTGTTTGTTCATGATGGACACTTGGGCATGTGCCATGCACGTGACCTAGGAGTGGGACGTTTCGACATATGGATTCTGGAGGATTATGCGAAATGGCGTTGGGTTCGAAAGGCCAGGTTTACTCTTCGAAAGCCGAGGTTTGGCCTTGATACTATGAGGGATATGCTAGTGGGTGGTTGTTTCATGGTTTTGAGTGTCGGAAAGGACGAGTTGTTTATAGGTTGGTTTTCACGTTTGTTATTGGTTGTCAATGTGAAGGAGCAAAGTATTAAAGAAATTAAAGTGCCACATAAATTGAAGTCGGCCAATATTCGTCGTTGTGCTGCTTACACCAGTAGTCTCGTGACTCCTCATCATGGTTGGTTAGGTTAATTAGGACCTCATGCCAAATCTGCAACACTTTCAAAGGCAACTAGTTCCAAATGCATGTTCTTTATTACTAAATTTTCATTATTAATTATTATAAGTAATTACCAATGTATGATTTAAACTTTTTTATTTTCTAAATAGAACTTAATAATGTCTAGTAAAGAATTAATGTCCACCTTGTCCAGGTAGTGGACAGTTACTTGAATAATAAGTAATGAATTTTGACCAATGATCATATCCTACATTGATAAATAAAAATATATAGTCCTATATTGAAAAAATCATTATATTTTATTCTTATTTAGGTAAAGTTTTTCTTTCCATTGTAAACTATCTATGTGGTACTCGATTCATCTAAGAGTTTGTTGTTGTGACGTTGTTATTTATTACAAAATGCGATATGAATCTAAATCAATTGTTTTAAGAATTTAAAAAGTGAAAGGATAATATTTTGGGAGAAAAATAATTCTCTTGTATTTTTTTATTGTACCTTATGAACTGAGCAATGCTAGAGTTCACAAACAGAATGATACAAACTCTACAAACTTACTATTTGTAATTTAAATTCTCATTTTAAAATTATTTTAGACTATTTAATTTTTTATTGAAGTTCACGAATACTCCCCCTGTCACTTTAAACATCGGATGTTTTGATTTTGAAGAGATTTAAGGGGTGTATTTTGGTATTGAATTTTCAAAAATGTCTTTTGATGTGATTGGTAAAAGCAGGATTTGATGGGAAGATTATACTCCCTCCGTCCCCCTGTATTTGTCCACATTTGACTTTTGAAACTGTTCATCTAAGCACTTTAACTCGTCAAATTCTCTCAATGTGTAAGCCTAAATATAGTCATGTGTGATCTTGTTTGATTTGTCTTAACATATAGATTATTAATATATAATTTTTATAATTTTTTAATATACAAATTACAAGATAAAATGGATTAAAGAAGTGCATTGGATGGTGTGTAAAAATGAAAGTGGACAAATACAGGGGGGCGGAGGGAGTAAGTAAAAAAGTATGATGTGATAGGTAGAGTATGAAAAAGTAAAGGCTAAACGTGACTTTTTAATAAAAATAAGAAGTGTTTTTTAGAACGGATGAAAAAAGAAAGAAGAAAGATTTTCAGGGACAGATGAAGTAGCAAGTTTGTAAAGTTTGTGACGATTGTGAATCAAGTATTTCCCTTATGTACAATGATAGTGCTTATATAAGGTCGTACTGGATAAGAATTCTATATGGAAATAAACTGCTAAAGAAAAAAACACTAAGAGAAACAGAATAATACAAGGGAATTACCATGTACACCTTAATTAAATACAGAGTAATATTCTCTCCGTTTTCAAAAACACTTCCTCTTTCATTTTTTCCACTTCCAACAAAACACTTCCTCTTTCTATTAAAAAACCACTTTTACCCTTATTTTTTTATACTCTACCTATCACATCATACTTTTTCTCTAATAATCTATCCATCACATCTTACTTTTATCGATCACATCTGTAACAAAATTGGAAATCAACTACTCCCTCCGTCCGGAATTAAAGTTCCCACTCTACGTTTTTCTCCGTCCAGAAATGAAGTTCTCATTCTACGTTTTCATACTCACTCTTCCTAAAATACCCCTTCTTCTATTCCTTTCTTTCTTCTTCTTTTCTTTTTTCTTCTCCCCCCTTTTTCTCGCAGACCTGGCCAGTGACCACCCCCTCCCTTTCTTTTTCTTCTCTCTCGTTCTTTCTCTCTTCCCCCCTCCCCCTACTATTTTTCTTCTCCCAATTATCTTCTTCTTCATTTCTTCTCCCTCTCCTTTTCCTTCTTTCTCCCTTTCTTTTCTCAGCAAAATGCCACTCTCACTCCCCCCTCTTTTTCTTCTTTTTCTTCTTTCTCTCCTTTCCTTTCTCGGCCAGATCTGGCCATCATTTTCTCTCTCCCTTCCCCTCCTTTTTCTTATTCTTCTTCTTTCCGATTAGATCTACATGCGGTGATTCGATATCATCTTCTTGTAGATCTACGGTTAAGGGAGGGTTTTGATTTACTTGCAGATACGGAGGAAGCTGGGGCGGTGGTGGGGGTTG